AAATTTATTAAGTTCCAGTGTCTTGTACTTTTTAATCAGTCTACATCAGCATTTTGTAAGCCCAAACAATGAACTACTTCACTAAGCTGAGGTGAAGTGTCAAAATACAAATCAAGATGGCAGATAGCTCCCAAAGTGGTTAACTTCAATAAATATTACTTGGAAAACAATGAGAGTGAAGAATAGATGAACAGTAACACAAATAGAAGTTAAGCATTTCTAAGTTAAAACTGTAACCTAGTTGTAGACATGCTTGAGTAATACAATCTGTGTTAGCATCAAATCATTTATTGCATAAATCTAAATCAATAGAGAATGGAACAAACCTTGCTATTCTGAAATTTTCCTCCTGCCACATTTGGTACTGCATTGTATGCTACTGTTCCAACAGAAGGAAGCAATTGTATATATGGAATACCATGAAAACTGGAGAAGTTAACACCTAAAGTTCAATTTGAAGAAAATTACTAAGCATGAATTTTCAGTATTGCATTTCCAATAGATAACAGAATATAAGTAACCAAATATAACTGTTCTATACAGCTATTAATGTTTCTTCCTCCATAAAAAAAAAGGTTGTCAACTATCAGATACAGGAAGGGCATGGTTGAACACAATGTTGGATATGAAATCATCTGAAAAAAATAAAAGATATGGCACCCTTCTACAGGTATCCAGTACAATAGGTTGTCGGTAATCAACATTAGGAAATACAGGTTAAAACCACGGAAATACATTCAAAATGATTATAAAGAAGATAAGGAAAAGAACCTAATGGACCTCTATTGTAAATACTACAAAACTAAGAAAGATCCATGTAGCACCCGGCTGGCCCACAGGTAGAAGGGCCATTACCTAATGATGGTCCTATCTATCCAGGGTCTTGGAAGGAGTGAATTGAATCCAACTCTAACATTTTGGCAATTCATTTGCACAAAATGGCTGCTCTCAGACTCAAATCCATGTTCTCACACTTGTCAGCCCAAGATTTTACCATAGCACCAAATTCACAGATCATTCTCACACTGGGCCCACATGCCAAGCATTCAATGCAAATTTACAGAGCACGCAATGCGGCCCATTATCAAAATCCATCATAGTTGATCATAGAGCTGATGTAAAATGATACAGATTAAGCCCAGTGGTTGGAATGATAAGAACATCCTTATGTTTAGCTTCTGCATGAGCTCACATAAGATTTTAATTTAAGTGCATAAGTGCTAGAGTCTATTGAAGCAATTAACAAATACAAAATTAGGAAGATCAAAAGGGTTAAATCAAGAAATAGGCTTCTTAGAAAAGAAAATAGATATATCTCTACTACCTTTCAGTTCATCCAACTTTTCCTCATTAACTTCTATATTTAAGGTATTGATTCTCATCTCTCTCATTAACTCCTATATTTAACATTGCTTTTATTTTTCTTCATTAAATTCCACTAAATAACTCTGTATGTCATAATTTAAATGGTACCAAAAAACCAATATTTTTAAAACCAACCCAGAAAAGAAACTGTTTTTCTGTATGTGTTGTGGACCTTAAACTGTCCAGGTCAAATGCATCAACCCATGGCATCATAATTAAAAAAAATATTAATGGAAGATAAAAATATAAAAAATACAAAAAATGGTAGAAATTTTTGGACACGTATCTAATATTATTTATTCATCATATTAAACAAAAAATCATCATCATCTTCTAAGCCTTGTCCGAACTATTTGGGGTTGGCCACATGAATCTTGTTTAATCATTCCATTCTGTTCGGTGCCATCCATCATTAAATTATGGGTGCTTAAATCATTTCTTATTACCAACTGATGGTGGCTCTATTGGTAAGATCTCTGACTCATATGTAGCAGAGACCTGGGATCAAATCCTACTGCCACCAAGGTTGGGGGGTTAAGGGGATGGGGATGGACTACCCCCCCCCCCGGTTGTGTAGCCCCATGAAGCAAAAGAAAAATCTTATTACTTCCACCCAAGTCAAGCTCTTCTAGACCTTTCAACTTGTATGATAAATAGGAATTGTTTTTGTTAAATATAAAAATGGAATACAAAAATAAAAAAAAAAGAGAATAAATATCTAACCCATGACCACACTAACCAGGTCAAATGGTTCAATGATTCAACCAGTTGGCTTCCCTGGTCATTGACCAAGTCAATAATCTTGCCATCAAGTAGTTTGGTGGTAAAATGGACTCAGAATCCTGGTACCAGGCCAATTCAATCACAATTCACAAGTTGAAAACATTGTTTTAAAAATCAATAGGAACCACATTTCCCTCCAAGTGACGAGTCAGCAACTAAATCAATTAGGTCAAACAAGTTAACTTATGTTGTCATAAAGTAAATGATAAAATATACAAAAAAAAAGAAAATTTCATAGTATTTTTATAATTGGGCCTGTTTATAACATTATATATTCATCATATTAAAACAAAAATTTATTATAAGGCAACAAATCCACCACTACAGCATGCTTCAACTACTACTACCACCACCACCACCAAATTATTCCCCTAAAAGAACACTCAAAGTTGATGAGAAAAGAAGACAGGAACAACCCTCTATAGAGTAAGATAATAATTTAAATAACCACAAAGTCAAACATGCACAACATGCTCAAGTAATGCATGCAGTTAAGCATGCTGCTAGTAGTAAAAGGAAAATATGGATAGCAATATAGCATCATGCAAACTAATTTATAGAACCACACCTGAGTATGAAAATGGACCATTGGTTGATTGTGAGTAATGAGCATCTTCAATTAACTTGGACAAAACAAGATAGATTGCCCGCATTTGTTCCTCTAGAGACCCTGTCAGCGTCACTAGCCTATCATTCAATCCAATAAAATTGTGATCCTGCGGGGATATCTTGATTCCTGCCTGGGAATCTTCAATAAATGACCTGACAAAAGTCATGGGTGGGATATTAGTAGTTGTCAGTAATAAATTAGTGCTGCTGTAAGGGCTTCAATAATATAAAAAGCAGGTATGCTGCCTTGCCAGAAAAAGAAAATAGGGAACCAAGGCCTAATATTTGGTCCACATTAAAATAAATTTTAGTGTTTTTTTATCAATTAAATTTTAGTGTATTTCAATATCATCAGAAGGCACAAGCATTAGCCCAGAAATCATCTATCCTATTGTGCACCACTCCAATTAGCCAAATGTCTAGTTGAAGTTCCCTATCAGAACTCACATGTGTGATATATCATCAAGCAACTCGATAATAAATCAAACAAAAACCACCAGGCACTAAGCTTAAAAATATTGATAGTTTTTCATAATTGGAAATTTTATATTGAACTGCTATTTTTGTTCCTCCAGGCAAACTCAGTGATCACACTTGGAAGAAATAAATGTGTGAAACCTGTCCCACAAGCATGCCTCCCAACCAACCTGTGTAATGACTTAAACATACTTGTGGACAGGTGCGCACATTGATTGTGTGTATACTCAATGTGCTCACCAATGTGCCTACTAGATCCAATCATTTTCAATCATATAAAATTGACTCAAAATATTCCTCATGAAGGTCTCTTCCAAAATCTGGAATTTCAAAACTTTGCAATGCAAGGTTGAACCACCACTAAATGTTAAAAGGAAAAAGCATAGGTGCTTTACTTTATGGTGGCTCCACCTTTCCCAATTATGCCACCACAAGAGCTATTTGGAACAATGAGCCTCACTTTTGACTTGGGATCAACATCATCACTATCTTCAGCTTGAACCTGACCAATACAAGAAAAAGTAGAACTTCAATTACAATAAAGGGTAAAAAGACAAGCATATTTTTATGGCTAGCCTTTTTCTATAACCTTTTTCATCTTGCCCTCTGATTTCTTCAGCCTCAACATAGTATTTTCTACTGCTTCTTAAGTTTTGATAAAAGTTATTCATCAAAAAATTAAAAAAAAAAAAAGTTTTGATACATGTTTTAAACATCATTAATGAACTCCACAGACACATACATGCACACAGAAGCACACAAACATGAAGATAATGGGGAAGAGTCATTCTGTACAGACCACCTCACTAAGCAATTTGGCCAGAATAAGTTCCATTGCCATGATTACATCATCAAATGCTCCAGATATCATGATTATTCTGTCAGATGTTCCTGGAAAAAATTCATGACTTCGTGACAATTGAATCCTTGCCCCAGACTGTGACTGAAATTCAGTAATTGTAGAGCCACCCTTTCCAATGATAGAACCAGCTGCCGCATTTGATGCAAGGAATCTAATATAGGTATTCTTCTCTTTATCATCTGAGAAGAGCAAAAATGAAAGATGATTGTGTATTTGGAAGAACAGAAATAAGAAGATATAATTATATAATATGAATGTACATAATCTATACACAAGTCTATCTTATCCTCGCAGACAATGGAGATCAGAGATGGGGAGGTTGTGAAACAGACAAAAAAGTGCAATTAATCTATGTACACATCCTATAGTAAGTCATTTCCTTATTTATCAAACAGAGACATGAACCACGCAGAGAAGTGATCAATAATATCCTCCAAAAACTCCATTTAAAATAAAAAAAAGGTCAAGAAATGACAAAAAAATAGGCAAATAGATAATTAACTTCTCCTCATTGTCATGCACATCAAGTGCACGAGGAGATTTTTTTTATAGGAAAAAGTGCATGAGTAGATTTCTTCTACATCTTTAACCCACATTGGAGAATATTACTTTTATCAACCTTATTGTGTCTTGATCTTTGACAGGGATGGGATTTTCTTGAAAAACATAGTGGGAAATTGGTTCAGAATTGATAAACTAAAAAAATTAAAGATCGAAGACAAAAAATGTTCTTCTAACCTTTTCTCCTAATGGAACTAAACAGTGACTGTATTAGCAAGGGATCATACCAAATTTAAGGTCAAAAGCCATGCTAACTCTGAACAAACACAATATGTAACTTCAAAACCTCCAAGAGAGTCTAAACACTTCCCAAGCAAGACCATAGACCATGTCCACCTCTACACACTCCCCCAATCCCAAAAGAGCCCAAATTACCCATACAACTACCATCAAAATCCATCTTTATTCCGTCATTGTTAGGTGGCCTCCACATTTCTTGGACCATGGCTCTCATGGAAAAAGAGGCAACTACCACTCTCTAATAATCTTATCTTCTGAATAGTCATTAAACAATGGTCTTAACCCAAAGGGCAACTTTTTTTTGATCAGAAAGAAAATTTTATTTTATTAATTTAAAGAGAGATTAGTACAAAGTGATGAAAGGTGTGCCAATCCAAACAAATAAAGAAATTACAATGAAGCCCAAAAAAGTTGTTGTCTCATGACCCCCTGTTTAGCAAGGGTATCAGCCACCCCATTTGCAGTCCTTCTAACCCACTTGAATTCAGCATTTAATTCCTTAGAAATATTTTCCACTTCCCTAAAGGCATTCCTGAATGTCCATGGAACACGACTGCTACATCTTGCCCATGAAATAACTATTTTAGAATCCTCTTCCACCTCCACCTGTCGATATCCCAATTGTTTTGCTAATCAAAGTCCTTGCAACAATACACACAATTCTGCTTACAGAGAATTTCTAACTCCAATAGGTCTTGAATATAAGGCCATCACCCTACCTTCAGAATTTCTGAAGACACCTCCTATTCCTGCCAAACCCAAATTGCCCAATGACCTTCCATCAAGATTCAATTTAAGCTTGGTACCTTTTGGAGGTTTCCAATCCATGACAACTCTGTCTTTTTCTCGAGATGACAATGCCACCTCTTAGTATTTCATTCAATGAGAGGACCTAAAAGCTTTCCACCAACTTTACCCAATGTGCCACCTTAATCTTTATGCTGTCAATTACCTCTTTCATTGATCTACTTTTTTTCATTGAATATTCTCTCACTTATTTCTTCCCAAATTACTGTTGCCTTTATTGATCTCCACATTATTCTCCCTCTTTTCTTCGGTTGTCTCAAAAAGTCAGGATTGAAGATATCAACCACATCTTGAGGGGGATCCTACCTGCAACCAAAGAGAGAACAAAAATGCATCCAAATGCAGTGCACAAAAGAACGAGAGAATAAGATATTAATAAACAAGATAAGGATTCACCAATAGCCCTGCACAGAAAGCACATATGAGGAGAGAGGCAAACATTAGGCCTTTTTCTCTACAACATATCACAAGTATTTATCTTACCAAGGAAAACTTCCCAGCAGAAAGCTTTAATCTTAGGTGGAATAGGCTTACTCCAAATTTCTTTAACTGGGAAGTCTACCCCTAGGGAGTTAGGTAGAATGAGGCTACTGAAAAAGGAAGCACAGGTGAACAAAACCATCAGGAGAGACTGACCAAATATTCCATAGGCTTACTCCAAACTTCTTTCAATCATGGCCTCCTTTGTCCTGCATTACTCCTTAAATATTTTGTCATTCCTCTCATCCCAAATATTCCATAGGATTGCTGCCTTTACGGGTCTCAACATTACTCCAAATTTCCATAAATTCCAACTCAAGGGAATAAGTAGAAGTTCGTAATAGTGAAAACAGAATCAGTTCATGAAATGAAACTCTAAAACAAGCCATTGACAACCCTTTTAAAAACTCAACAAATAGCCAGCATGAAAAGCTATTTTCCATCTCTCAAGCCAGATGAGATAAAAGAGTAGCACAAAAATCTAGCTCCCACAGGCCGCATTTCTTTGTAATAAGATGGTGCATAATATGCCCACTTATTGCTAATTACAGCTCATATTTCTCAGAACCTACATGAGAAAGTGGAATTCATATTTACATTCCATTCATTAACGACGACACATGCTCTGCACAGATTAGGTTGATCCAAGACACTTAACACACTTCTATGCAAAGTAGCATGCCACATGCCGTAATTCCAAAATAAAATGTTTAGCCCGAATTCAAAAGCGTGACAAAATATTAGATTTCTAGTACACATTAAAAGACTTCCAATTCAAAAATATGAAATACGAGAGCCTGTCAATCCACATGCTTATCAAAGTGCACAGTCTTTATCTCAATAAAGTATAACACGACGAACAGACATTTTCCAAATTCAGTAACACCGTATCAGTTTGAAACTCCAGGAATTCACATACCAAAATTGCCAACATGATACGAACAAACATCGGACCAGAGAATCAATTCTTTTAAATAAAGATGATTCAAAAGCAATGCAAACTTTTAGGGTTTAAGATAGACAAAGAAATTTGGTAAAAAAAAACAAGAACGAAATGTGAGAAATTTAAGTTGAAAAGTCAGAATACTGGGAAAAAACTAGATCAGAAGCAATAGATCTCATTAGTAGTGACAGAACAAGAGGAGTTGCCGGGAAAGTGGATGTGCTTCGTAGATATCTCACCTGAAGATGGGGACTTCGGCGGTGCGGATCGCTTGGGCGCGACCTCAGGAGAAGAAACGCAAGACGAGTCTGGCGATTCCATTCTCTTCCTTTTCTTCGTTTTGCCGCTTAACAGAGATAAAGAGATGAATCGCCTCTGAGAGAAAGGGAGAGAATCAGAGCAATCGCATTGTTCGAAAGGTTAATACGAAAGAAACAAGAGGCTAGAATGAGATATTTGTTCTATCTTTCAGAGAGAGAGAGAGAGGGGTGCGCGCGCGCGTTTGTTCAACGTCCAGCGTCTGTAGTAGTTTGGCTCGCTTTTTTGCTTGGGTTTGCAGCGTGAGCTCGTTGCCGAAGAACCCGCTTCTCGTATTAACAAACGTCGTTTGACATTAAAAATGTAGACAGAGAGAATACTTCTTCCTCTTCTCGTGTTCTCTGCTATATCTTTCGTTCTTTTTTATTAGTCCCTCTCTCTCTCTCTCTCTCTATCTAACCCCGTTAGATTAGTTTCATGACCATTTTGCTCGTGTCATCTTTCAAATTACAGTTAACTGTTGGATAATTAACAGAGAAGTCAGGGGCAGAACCGGTCAATGTGTGAAAAAAAATGTTTGTTCAACTCCCGCTCCCCATTTCCACACAAGGGCATGATGGGCTCTTAGTTGTCATTGGGCCCACCTCTTAGTCTTGCCTTCTTGTGGGCTCAAAGTGGACCTGACGATCGGGTCGAGACGTTTTCGGGTCATTTTGGGCCGGGTCAGCTTTTGGGTTGGATCAGTAAAAGCTAGACTCTATCCCTAAATATTTAGATTAGAGTTCATCGATGGGTCAATGGTTCAATCATGTTTATTCATCTGATTCAAATGGTTTGAATGGTCCAACGATATGGGTTAACACAAGCTTGAAAATGTTGGTATTAGAATAGATGACCCACCAATAACCCGATCCAACTTCTACTTGGGTAATTGCATAAGGACCCCATCCTTATTCGGGTCGGGTCCATGGATTGGACCGAGTTTTGCCAGGTCTAGCTCAAAGGATAAATTCCCATTAAACTAATAACCAAGGTGGGATCGTGAATGGAAGTGGAATCATTGAAATAATGAAGTTGACTTGTTAAACTATGGGTTGGGTTGTTTTAGAGAGTTCTGACTTGGTGAAAGTGGGAGAGAATAGATGGCCTACCCACTACCCAGCTGTTCGTTAGCTTCTTCTCCATTAAAATAAAAGAGATTAAAGAGGGGTTTTGGTTGGTGTAGTGCTCTGTTTAACCCCTTTTTCTTTAATGTATAAAGCTTCAAGTTGGATTGCCTAATACAACATATGCTTTGACCTTAGAGAGCCTTCTGATATTATTTTAAACGTACAAATCTCTCATGCGTGGAGGTGGAGTTGTTAGAACATGTGATTACAGAGTTGTGTTTGTGGTACGGATTGACTTGGGAGCAGCCGTGGATTGGACCCAGCTCCGGTGCCGGCTGCCTGCCGGCAAAACAGCGGTGGAAGCATGGGTGAAGGTGAAACCACTTCAATGCGTGGGAATATGCTTAGACAGGAGGGCATTGAATATAAATACAAGGTAGGTTGCTACCACATGGGACCTTGAGTGGAATTCGCGGTTGAGAGCTCTCAGTCATAGGATCCTGATTTGGGTTTGACTGATCTCCATATAGATTAGAGAGAGTATGAAGAAAGATTAAGATAGGCTTTGCTTCTATTTAATGATGGAAAATGAGTTGAATGTGAAATGTCTCAAAATTTGTTGTTGGTTGTTGTTTAATTGGTACAAGTGGTGTCAAATTGAAATGCAATTTGAATTTGGTCTTTAGGCTTGGTTTAGTTCCAATGTAAATCTTAATTACATACAAATTTTGCATCCTATTCAGTTTTGCATATTTTTTTTCATCAGGCTACACAACAGTGGTAAGTCCTTCCTGGATTTGATCCTAGGTCTTGCTGCAACTAGTCAAAGATGAGATTCTACCAACTGAGCCACCGTCAATTGGTATTTTGGAGGCGTTCTTTTTTTTTTTTTTTTTTTGAGTTTTGAGAGGGGAAAAGTTGGTCAATTGGATTTTGGTTCCCATTGATTAAGAATCCTATATTCATTTTTCATATTTATGTGGGGATCAGGGAAAGTTTATTTTGGGTAAATAATTTTCTCATCTAGGGGGAAAGTTGCTAACACTTGAATGAGACAAAAATGACCCTTTTAATAATGAATTTTATGACTAAAATGGTCATTACCTTATTTACATAGGAAATAAAAGAACATGGGTAAGTATCTTATCGAAAAGCGAACGGAGCCTTTGTATTTGTATCTGTTTGTTTATACTTATGATTTGCACTCCTTTCTGATATAAAATTAATTTATACTTTTTGTCTAATTTGTTCTCATGGCTGTGTAAATTATGCATCTCAAAAATTAATTCAGATTTCCTACTCACTTTTTCTACCCACATTTTACCCATGGTGAATAGCAGCCAACACATCTCACAATTCAAGATGGTGATGTGTGGATGCAATTCACAGTAGGTAGAGTGTGGGTACTGGGTAGAGAGTAGTGGGCAGGAAAATCTGGTTTGCTAAAAAAAACTAATGTAAAATTTGCACCACTTCCTCTTACCTTAAGGCTATGTTTGGTTTGAAGGAAAAGGTAGGGAAACTTGTACAAGGTTTGTATAGATTTCCCTACCTTTCCCTACTTTTTCCTTCGAACCAAACACAGTCTAATTCTCTCTCATATAAAATGGGGACCACATTATCTTGCTTCCTACCTTATTCCCAAACAAATAATCCTCCTCCCACCTCCATTATCTTGTATATAAGGTGAGACCATACCATTTTTCTTTCTATTTTATTTTCACAAACAAACAAGATAATACCAAATCTGAATCAAAATCTAACCAGAATTTACACTAGCTTATTTGCACTTTCATGCATATACACCAATGCATTTGCACTTCAACCAAATGCAGCCTTAGGATCTGTTTGGAAAGAATGCAAATACAAATATGTACAGTGCAAGTACAAGGTTGAGAAATGCCATATACAAGGTTTTGCATGCACTGAACATATTTGTCTTTGCCCTCTTCCCAAATCGAGTCTTGGTATCTGCTCATTTGCATTACAATTTATTTGCATTAGGCCAACTGCATGGGATTGCAAATAAGAAGAGTGCAAATTCTGGTTTAATATATTTTGTTTTTGGTTCTATTTTACTTCTGCTTCAGGTTTTTTTTACATCAACCCATTGCAGTCTTGCCTTCCAAAAGAGAAAAACCCATTTACAGTCCCATTTCTTTGCACTAGTGCAATTGTGCAAATTAAATTGCACTACAAACAAACCAGACCTTAACGTGATGGACTCGATAACAAATTGCTGAGCACTGTCAAGTTCTAATGTTGTAATTGAACATTTTTATGTTTAATACATGGTTGCGGAGAGAAGTCATCACCCTCTACACCACCTTCAAGTTGAAGGTGGAATCAACTATGTTCAACTTATATTTGCAGTTACTTTCTACAAAATTAAAAAACATAAATTGTCTTTGCATCAACCTGAAATGGGATAATAAGGTCTCATTTTGATCGTAGGAATAGGGGTCTGGAATCAGAACCGGAATGGGTCCAATTGTTTGGTTCGCAAAATCGGAATCCCATTCCCTCCCCCTCCTTTGGGAATGAAATCTCAATCTAGCTGATTTCAATTCCCATTCCAATTCCTGTATGAACCAAACAGACATTATGGGAATAGACCATTCCGATTCTGATTTCAAAGGATTTTGATTCTGATTCCAACTGCGAACCAAACAAACCCTAATTCATTTGGTGAAAATGACAATACCTTGATCATGCGTAAAGATGGAACATACAATCAATTACTCTACTAAACTCCTATTCCAAAACAAAATGAAAGGAAGGCTCTATTTGTTTGCAATGCAAATCTAAACCGGGCTGGATATGATATGGAAAAGATATGATATCTGATGTTGCGCGATCCGGGCACTCCTAGCTAGCGGAAACCTAGCTCCTAGCTGGTGGCGGATGGTACCTGAGGCAAAGGGGAAGGTGAAGAATTCTCGGGGAGCTCGTCCAGCGGGAACACTCCGATGCTTAAGTTAGAACTCTGAGAAAACTGAAGAATACAAACAAAGAGCTGAGAGTGCTGATGGCGCAAGTTCAATACCTCTTCTCTTCGAGGGCCGGGGTCTTTTTATATTGAAGATCTCTCAAATCAGGCGTAACTGCCTCTGCCACAGCCGTTATTGCCAGAGCCAAGGTGGAGGATGTGGGCAGTCGTTTCAGGGTATGGACCTGTCAGGCGTGCCACATCTGGCAGAAGTGGCAGGCACGACGCCGCCTGACAAGAGACGTGGGCGCAGCCTCCAGATTCGGCAGGTACTATTGTCAGGCAGATCTTTTTTGCAGGTTGCCAAGCTACTTTGCACCAAGCTGCCTTGGTCCGAGCTACCCTACACCGGGGTGCTGGGGTAGCCGAGGTGCGAGTGCTTGAGGTGAGCCTTAGGCAAGTATGGGCAGGAGCGTTAATGGGGCTATCCCGAAGTGTCCCCACTTCAGGATACTTCCCGTAGATCGGGGTGTTCCCTTCTCAGGACGGAAGAGTTTGGGACCCACTGGGAGGAGCTCGGGAGTCCTCCTCCCTTAGGGAGAATTCGGAGTATGCTAGATGTTTCTTCTCGACGAGCTGATACGTCCGCCGAGTTGTATTGCTGGGCTCCGGCGAGTTCAGTACGCCGAGTTATGGCCAGGCTACCACGCTGAACTGTCACTTATGTCAGGTTGTACCCACGTGTCCCCGTGCTACGAGGTCGGGCCAAATCACCCTCCATCAATATTCGAAAAACAACTGACCAATAAACTGGAATCATAAACGTGGTAGTGAATATGGTGTTATTTGTCAAAATTCATGGGTGAGTTTTGATTGGTCAAAACTCTTTCTGTACCATATCTTTTCCACATCATAGATTTTCTAGGTACAAATCATGTACTCATTTCATTTACACATCAATCTGTTTGCAATTATCTTACCTGATGCAAAATTTGCACTGTGTATCACTGCACTCATTGGCAGTGCAGATTTTGCATTGAACTGATACAAAAATTTAACCTTCTTCCCACTTTAATTCTCTTTAATATAAAGCCTTTTGCTTCCTACCTTACTCTCCCAAAACAAACAGCCTTCCTCCCACCTCTATTCTTCATATAAAGTGGGACCACATCATTTTACTTCTCAAAAACAAACAAGAAAAGTTAGATTAAAATAAAAGTAAACTAAAAATTACACTCGACCCACTTGCATTCTCCTATATTTAGGTGGTGTTTGATAACATTTTTCAGACCTTTGAAGTCTAAAAATGTTGCTTTTCAGACGCCACCTATGTTTGGGTTGAGTCTGAAAATTCAGATTTGAAATGCATTTTTAGATC